CCCTGATCCTGTCCAAGCTTTTCCTGCGACCGGCGTAGGCACAAGTGACAGGCACAGTGAGGACGAAGAGCCAGATCCGGAAAATTGGCGAAGGTGTCCTGGCTGCAGGGGTCGTCAATCAAAGTACGACCCGAGGCACAGCCGCGTTGAAGGAGAGTGTCTTTGGCCTCAAATCGAGCCAATTAGTTGGAATTGTCCGGCTTGTAAAAATCACCGGCCCTATGGACATCCTTCCCACTCTCTCGATGCAACTTGTAAGCATGCTGTTGTTGGACATCGTTTAGGAACCCCCAGGACAGGTCGGCACCCCAGACCTCCAGCTAAGAAAGCGACAGCTTCCGATACTGCAGACCTTCAGCCACAATTGGCTGATGGGACAGACCTGGCCGCCGAGGATGAACGTGGTTTGGCCGTGTCACATGACGGCATAGTGCCACAGCCGCCTCCACCTGAAATTATACGCCTGCTTAAATATCGTGAATGGACAAATGCTTGCAATGGACACCCTGCATTCATTCATGGCCCAATATCCGAATATATGACCCCAGAGGAGAAATTTCCCGATTTTGGGTATAGAACAACTTGGGCCAGAATTGGAGATAAGTGGTACCAACTAGAGTTAGCAAAGAATTGGAAAGAACTAGCTAACCCGAAGCAGTTGTTACCTGGAATTGCATCCGTTTCAATCACGATTTTCCACAAAACTGACAGTTTTGACTTGAGACCATTCCAAACCACCATCACTGACATCGTGCCAATGTACCAGCCCAGAGAGTATGCCGAAAGACATCGTCGTACATACCGCGATGCAAACGAAGGCACCGAGAAGCCAGCTGATTGGACAAGGTTCAATGTCAGCCGGTCACTTCGTGCTTTATCTTCAGGGGCACCAGATGTCAAACGACGCGAGCTCCGAAAATTGCATCTGCGATGGTGGCACGCCTCTAGGCAGGCCATGACAAAAGTTCTGTCGGCTGCAGGCCTGGGGCAGGACATCCTCAACATGATCCCGGACATTATCAACACATGTCGTGAATGCAGAATGTGGATGCGGCCGGCCAATGAGACGATTCCCACCTTGCGTGACACAAGCACTTTCAATCAGCATGTAGAGGTAGACCTCATATTTTTTAAAGAGCACATCATTTTTCACATGATTTGTTGTGGAACTAGATGGCATGCTGCTTGCAAGGTGCGCAACCGAACAGAAGAAGAGCTGTTTGACGCGTTGCACAAAGTTTGGTTGTCTATTCACGGACCAATGCAGGAAATTATCTGTGATGGAGAACTTGGCATAATGGGTGACAGCGCTCAGGCCAGGTTGAAAAGATTGGGAATTGAACCTAAAGTCCGTGCGCCAGGCCAGCATGCCCGATTCATTGAGCGCAGGGGTGCCATCCTGCGCCAAACTTTGCATTGCCTAGAGTCCCAGCTTGCCCGAGAAGGTGTTGTCTCGAAAATAGATCATCTTTTGTCAGAGGCGGTATTTGCAGGAAATGCTTTAATACATGTTGGGGGAGTGACCCCATATCAGTGCATCTACGGCAGAACTCCTGTTATGCTCCCTCCTTTGCCTGACGAGGGCTCAGATGCCTATCCTGAACTCAGTGACAATGCAGAAAGGGTGCGCCATCATGTCCGCGTGGCAGCCCTCGAAGCAATGATCCAAGCCACCAGCCTTGCGCGAACTTCGCGTGCTTTAAAATCCAAATCCATTGCTGCCACAGAAGTCACATACAAAAGAGGTGACGTAGTCGACTATCACCGTCCGTCCCCCAAAGATGTAGTAGGATGGCATGGGCCTTGTCAAGTCATTGAGTCTAAGCCTGAAGAGGGCATCGTCATCATCCAAATCAACGGAAAGCCAAAACCGTGTCGACTGCAAGACGTTCGGCACACCTTGTTTGCGCATGTGTCATTTGACTGTTTCATCGCCCAGACCACTGCAGAAGCCTTGCATGTAATAAGATTTTTTGTCAGCAATATGAGCCCCCGCAAGCATATCACGTTGGGATTGGTTCATGACAAACAAGGTCAATGTCACCTCAGCCAAGCCACTAAGAAGCATGCCCATGTGCTGCAAGCGTTAGATTTTCTCATTGAGTCGGTGTGGAATTTCGATGAGTGCCACGCAGTCCGGCTTGGCTCCGGCTGTCCAAGCTTGCCACACATGGAACAAGTAACGCATTCGACTCTTATTTTTTGGAATGCAGTCGCCCACAAACAGCCAGAAATAGTCACATTGGAGACATCCGCTGTAAACCTTAAAGATCACCGGAGATTATTGGATCAATGTGTCTTTTGTCCAGCTCTTGCACAATAGTGATCAACCAGCTGCTTTGTGTGATAGCATTGATGCAACTGCATACGCTCACGAGGAAGAATCCTCCAGCCAGCCAGTGCTGAATGAAACGCATTCCGAAAGGCTGTCCACAATTCCAGAGGGCAGCAATGAAGATGTTTCCGAAACACAAGATGAAGAAGTTTTGTTTGCAGCTTTTGCGCAGAAACATTTTGATTTGCCACAAAATCCTGAAGACATCCAAGACCTAAGAAATTTGTGGCACTTGTACCAGGACACGGTATCTGAGTTCCGAGAAGAAGCCCCAAGCGCAGAGTCTTTCCCACTTGTGTTTGCTGAGCCTGAGGATTTTTGGTATCAACCAGATGCTGCCTTTCTAAATCATTCTCAAGATCATTTGCATGTAGGAGAATCCTTTTTGACCGAACTTCTTGTTGACCCTTCAATGACCAATTGTTTCATTGATTCGCAGAAGCTTGCACCTGATGAGGAAGTTGCTATTCGCATTTATAATGCCACCAGCAAAGTAGAAGTAGTTAAACGAGCTTCTGATGTTTTGACCCCTGAAGAGTTCATCAAGCACAAAGCAGAAATCGACCAGGCAACGCTAGAAGAATTGCGCATTTGGCATGACTATGGTTGCTTTAAAATGGTTCCCCGGCAAGGAGCCAGAAACATCATTGACTCGCGATTTGTGACAAAGTGGAAAGTCAAAGATCCCAGCAGACCCTTCGAGAGCCGTATCATTCGCAGACGTATGACACTTCGTGGATTCAAAGAATGGTGTGCAGATCAATTGGATTCGCATGCGGCAACTGCCAGTAAGATGTCTCAACGCATGTTAATTTCTGAAGCTGCTTGCAATCCTTCCTGGTCTTTCCTTTCCATAGATATCAATAAGGCTTTTCTTCAGGGTGTAACCTACAGCGAAATGAGTGCTGCCACTGGCGAAGAAGAGAGAGTCGTGCATTTCACACTGCCGCCAGGTTCAGCAGCATTCCTCCGAAAATTGCCCGGGTTTGAACATTATGACGAGAGATACTATGTGCTAAAGTGTGTCAAACCTGGCACAGGTTGCAAAGATGCCCCAAAAGCTTTCAGTATCAAACTAGCCTCAGTAACCCGTAGTGTAGGACTAAAGCCCATTTCAACAGACCCCGAATGTGAAGTTAAACATAAGAACGGCCGTTTAGTCCTTATCATAGCCAAACATGTCGATGATATCAAAATAACCGGTGAAGAATCAGAAGTGCAAGCACTGCTCCAGGCTCTCGAACACACGTTCGGGAAAATCGACCGGAATGACAACGATTTCACTTGCGTAGGCATCCACCATTTTAGAGATAAATCTGGTTCTATCACCCTAGACCAACATGAGTATATTAAATCCATGAATCCCATAAGACATCCTGATTTGGTTGGAAGCGATGCAGATGCAGATTGCTCAGAAGCAGTTACTCGGCTCTTCTGGTCGTTGCTTGGAGCTGTTGCATATACATTGTTGACTCAACACTGGATTTCCGTGTATGTGATAGCACTCCAACGAAACACTCATTGCCCAAAATACCAACATATCCGAAAATTGAATTCCTTGTTGAAAGTGTTGCAAAAGCAAAAAGCCACTATTGTTTTCCCTTGTATGGATTGTTGCCGTCATATCATGACCTTCTCTGATGCATCCTTTTGTAAAGAAACCGACTTAAAGGGGTATGGCATGAGGGGAACTGTAATCTTGCGATTGGGAACTCAACATGGAAAACCCGTTTGTCACCTTTTGGACGCTACAAGCCAGAGCTTAAAGCTAGTCACCCGGAGCACATTTTCAGCCGAAACTCTTGCTGCAGTAGGTTCAACTGATGTTTTGATTCCTGTCATGATCGCTATGAATGAAATACAATGCGGGCCCTTTGCTACAGAACAGTTAAGAGAAATGCGGGAAAACTCAAAATTCGTTTTTGATTCAACATTGGTTATCGACGCGTTCAACCTTTACCAGCATTGGACCGATAACACTAAAAAACTGCCTTCTGAAAAGTCTTTGTATCCTCACCTTTGGTGGCTGCGAGACACAACCCGCTGCGCCCCGAAGCGCCTGCGTTGGTGCGATACACGTGACATGTTGGCAGATATTTGCACGAAAGGAACAGTGCAAAGGGGGCCGCTCCTAGATGCCATGATTGGAACATATCAGTTTAAGTTTGAGTTCAAAGACCATATTTTCAAACCAGTTTCCATCCATGCCAGCCAGAATCCGAATCCAGTGTGACAGAGCGCGTGCACCCGACACACATAGACACGCGTACGTACGAACATCAAGTAAAATTTTGTTGCCACAATGGACCAACCATGAACACACCCGACTGCGACGGTACATAGCATCATCACCCAGGAACATGTAGGCTCGAGCTAGTTTCACTTTTACAAAGCCATTTTGGTCGAAAGAATGCGTCCATGGAAACTCCTTGTCTTTGCGTTGTTGATTCTCGGTCCGTTGCCAACGCAAGTATTACATTACATTACATTACATTACACTTCAGTACATTACATGACATTACACACATATATATATATATATATATCATTGGCCCTGACTGTATAGAACAGGGTAAGACTCAACTGGCACCTAACAGCTTTTGAATTCACAAGCTAGCTGCCGCGAGTGTTTTGAACCCGTAACAATTTTAAAATCCACTGCCAGGGCATCGAGAGTGAGAACCCTGCTCATCCGTATTCGCGGATGGTGATTTGCAAGCCACATTGGTACAAGCCTGTGTATTTTGTTGCACAGCGAGGGGTCCAGATTCTGCTTTTGAGTGCAATGGTTTCAAGCAGAACGATGAATTCCAGCAAGGGATTGGGTGCTGTGTTGCCTTTTTTTTGAAGTGCATTTGTTGCAATGCCACACGCACATTGTAGGAATATGCAAGTTCTGTAAATTCAATGATATGTAAATAAGGATTTGTAGTTGCTACATGTTGGTACCAAGGATTCGGTTCATCAAGTGTGTGAAGCGCAGAGATGAGCTTGTCCTCCGCGGTGTCAAGCGGTGGGAACGCAGGTTCGGGATGTTCAAAGGAAGACTTCTGTGGCAGAGTGTAGGATTCAGCTCTGGGTTGCCCAAAACTCAAACCATGTTCATCTGTGATACAGTTTCCCTGGGAGTTTTGATGTTGTGATGTTGGTTTGCAAAGATCCAGTAGGGACTTGTTGAACTCTTGAGGGTTTGAGTTTGTCTGTTTTTCTCGGCATCATATAATTGAGGTGTTTGTGTGACAAATTTGGGACTTATGGAAGACAACTCCAGACAAGGGAAGACATAATCTTTGCAACCACGCCATCTTGATTTGTGAACCGAAGACAGCAAGAACCATGAGAAACAGCATCAAATACACAATATCCCAGTAGATATAACCAGTAAATATAACCAGAAACTATGGCTCAACAAAGGTGGTACAAGAAGTAACAAGACGGAACAAAACGTAACAAGACAAGAAGACAAGCAAACCTTCGGCAGAAAATGGGACCCTCCAGTCGGCAAAGCGTTTTCGCCTGCCAAGTTACTACTCTTCGCTTGATGAGCCCTCGCAGAGCGAATACCTGGAAGACATCAGCACCAAGATGCGGTGTGCTGGGGATGGTGTCTGAAGGAGCAAGGATCAGTGACAAGGGCATTTAGATGCTTTCTTGCAAAATCTTGCAAATATGTGCATGACCTTTCTAGAAATATGCTATGAGCTTTGAAGTACTGCCATGTATTGTCCATTGCCACTTTCGTATTGAGTAGCAAAGGTACTTCTTGTATGCGGCGTCGCATACGAAGGATCATGAAAAGAGGAAAAGGCCAGGGCCGGTCGCCAGATGTCGCCAGATGTCGCCAGATGTCGCCAGATGTCGCCAGATGTTGGGCTGCCGTCCTGGGCACGAGGCTGGAGACCAATGCGCAGCACTGCGCCATCCGACATTCGAACCTCTTGAAGCCGGAGGACACGAAAATCCACAAGGGTTGCGGATGGTAGGGTTGATATGGGTCGATAGGTTGCCAAACGTTGCCAACAAGTCTGTCATAGTTTGCTTGGCATCTACTGACATGTAATTTCCTGCTTGTGAGCTGTGTCAGTCACAGGACACTCCATCTGCCATGGACTTTGGCTCAGGATGCAGAAACCAAGTTTTACGTTGTGTTGCTTCGCCTTGCTTCACACTGCTTGGCCTTAAGCTTTATATTGCTTGTGAATGCTTGTGACACTTTATTCTGCAACGAAGTTTCAGTGAACCTAAACATATTTTGCCCTATCATGCCCATGTGCCTGGTGGTGATGCAAGCAGGGCTGCAGATGTTGTATCGAGTCCTCAAAAGCAAGACCATGTCAAAACAAGCTGCCCGTATTGCCTTGCCGCCCTTCCCGCCCTGAGAGTTGAGGTGTGACCATTCCTCTAAAAGGGCATGCGGCATGCTTCTCACTGCCGTTTTGCAATATATTTCATTATGATGCATTTTGATCCCATGTCACGGTTTGAATCATCTGTGGAGTGCTTTCTTCTTGTCTGTTTTGTATTGATGGATGAAGCGTGTTTCCATTTGCTCGTGTCGAGCGGAACCCATCTATACCAGACTCAGAGCAGGCGTCAAAATGCACTCGTTGAGCCACAGCTGCTACGCGAATCCGCGAAAACGATGGGGTGCTACAATTCGCAAAATGCAACCTTTCGTGACTTTTCCAGATTCAAATTGCTATCGTATGCCACCATTTTTGGACAAACCCAAATGGTTGAATTTAGTAACTCATTGGGAAAGAGTTGCTTCAAAGACATGTCATTCTGTGTGCTCAGCAAAGCTTTTCTAACTGATGTGTCCGAACAGAAAAGGATCCAACATGCCGAAGTTTCGGTTTCAGTTTTTTCAACGTCCTTCGCTAATTTCCTTGTTGATCATGACGGCCGCAGGCAGGAAGGGTATTTGGGACCAGTGCGTCTTCAACCTCAAGAACCGGCTTTTTGGCTGGTCTCTGATAAGTTGTACATTTTTCTTCCACAACTTGGCCCATAGTTGTACTGCAGTGTTTTATCCCTTCATCTTGGAATGGCAGTACACTTTAAGTAAAGATGAGTCAGTGATAGTCAGTGATAGTCAGTGATTGTGGCTAGCGCTCTTGGATGCACTTGGTCGGATGTCTTTCACGGTAATTCTCCAGGGTTTGACGTTGCCAGTCATGGCATCTCCATCGCCTGCGCGCGCCTTCGACTTCGACTACCGCTCGCCTGCGCGGGTGCCACGCCATGTTGAAATTACTCCAGGATCCCCAGGAGTTTTTTTCTTGTGAGGTCAAAGTATTTCTGAAGCCTTCATAGACTACATAGGGTTGATATATTGAAGAGAATGAAGAGAACAAGACTTCAAATATCTTCAAATCTTTTTGCATTGACACAATAAGAAGTTGGGACTTTCGAAGACAGCTTAGCATCACAGCGTGGCCTTCGAGGTGGAGGGTTCACCACTACCATGTCGGCCTGGTTGCACTGACAAGCTGGAAGAGGCTTGGAGATGGGCCATAGAATGCCATAGATACCATTGGTTGTACCGGTTGCATTTCTTTACATACTGAAAAAGACAGAGATTGGATATGTATTCAAACACGTTTGGTTAGGTGTGCGCCGCAGCGCAGTCCAACGTGAGAGAGTGGCGAAAGGACTTGTTGTGCGGCTGTAATTTGTGGTATGCGGATTCAAAAAACCCAGGAAAGTGATGAGCGGTGATCTTGATTGAAGTTTCAAAGTTTCAACATGGCCTGACCTGTCGGCGGCAGTGAAACACCTGGTGACGCTTTCCGTTTTCGCAGGAGAGAAGTCAGATCATGAATTCATTGGCCCAGCGAGGGCTGCAGGACGGTGGACTCTAGAGACTGTGTTGAGACTCTGTTGTGACTCGTTATTTCCTTAGTTTCCTTGTCTTGTGATTGTGAGCATGTTGTGGTGTTCGTCCTTAAGCTTGTTGTAGCCTGGGAAAGCCTTGTAGATTGTAGATACCATGGTTTCCAGGGTTATGCTTTCAGTCAGACTTTTTTGGTTGGCCGGCTCTTCAGAAGTGTTCCAGTCCATTGCACAGGATATCCTTAAAGAAGAAGACGTAGTCTGTGACTTGCAGGTGCTCGCATTTGCAAGAGCTTTTTGAGAGTTCTAGCGAAACAAGGGGCCAAAAGCCCTAGCAATTGAATCTGTTCAACCCTTCGATCAGGACGCAAACAGATCGTGTGCACAATGCATGTGAACTCAAAGAGCCATAACAGGGTGCAGAGCTGTTGAGTATTGCAAACCCATTGCACAAGGCAGACCTGGCTGCAGTGGAGGAGCTGACCGAGGTCAGAACTGGATGGGTTGGAAGGGATGGCGGTGGCCGTGGTCTTTCAAGCAGCTTCCACCGCCAACGGATCAGGCTGCTCGCTGCTTCCACAAAGAAGGAGCCAAATTGGGAGAGGCTGATCCGCAAAAAAAACAGTTGTTCTTGACCTGTGAGTTGTGTGTCTGTTTTTGTTTCAAGGAATCCTTTGGACTCCTTCAAGTCACAGGGAAATCCTTCCCAAAGTCACTTTCCGGTGTGTGCTCCTCTAAATTTCGAGGCAATGCTGCAGTGCATGAAAGCTTCAGGCGAGCGCGCTGAGGCAATGAGAAGTGCAAATTGCTGCTTTGTGAAGTGGTGCTCCAGTATTTTGACCACGTTTTTTGTTCTGAAGGAGACAAGTAAATACTAAGTATATAGATAAATTAAATTCAAGTTTGCCGTTTCAATAGAACTGCATTGTAATTATATCATACCCTGTTAATACTTACACTGTAAACTTGCATAATATTCTAAAAACAAAGGTTCAGCACTTGGCTCCTTCGCTTGGCATGCAGCAGTCCTGGTGGTCTATACTCTCTGCTGTCTGGCAACTTCAAATCCTGTACCTTGAATGCAGGTGGTGGCACAAGCTAAGGACATTCTGCGCAGTGCAAATGAGGACTACCAAAAGGACAGCATCGCAAGCATACAGATCTCTGCTTGTGAGAGCTTCTTACGTTTAACCTTGTGAAAATCTGTGATTTGACTTTGAATAACCCTTCATTGTGCTTCCATCACAGTTGGGTCAGTCTAAGATTCTGTGCTTTCCGGGTTTTCTTCAACAAGCTGTGCACATAAGCCATGACAGCGTTGGAGGAGCTGGAAGCAGAAGAGCGACGGCTAGCAGAGACGAAGGAGGCCTGGAGCCACTTGTGGCCCAAAAATCAGGAAATCCCCGAACTAAATGGAGGAAAATCAACTATAAATGGGAGATTTTCCATGTTTGACGCTCGATTATTGGAGGGTAGCCCCAAAATTCCGTCTGTTATATTTATATGGTGTCATATCGTGTTTTTTTTGAATTCAAATGGCCATCAATTGGAAAACACTGTGCCAATATTGGTGGATAGGCCCCACCTGCTTTTCATAAATAACTTTTACAAAGTGGAAAAGTTGGTGCTCTCGGAGGCCTCCAAAGAGCAGCAGCAGAGCATTGATGAGTTCTTGCAGCGGTGCCCGAGAAGTTGGGATGGTCCTCTTGTCGCAATTCTCGTTTTGTTAAAGACACGGAGATCCAAGGTTTGGAAAAATGATGAAAACTGAGAGTATAGTGCCAGCTTTGGAATGAACGCTGCTTGAAAAAATCTCGGCATTTCATGGAGTATTTTTATAATAAGGTTTAAACACAGCACAGGCACTCACAAGTTGAGGCCATTTGCATAAGGCCTTTGCATATCACGTGCACATCACGCCAGCAAAGGTCAGTTAACTGTATCGTCTCTGCAACATGAGAAATTGGGACGTTTTGCAGGTACAGCCGATCGTTGGGGCTGAAGATCTCTCGCGTCAGCGCGCAGACCATCCTGTTGAGCTTTACTCGCATCAACAAGGCACACTGAGACGTTGGCCTTTAGCTTGAGCAGTTTTAGACTTGTGATACTCAATGGCTAGGCAATTCTATGGAAGAACAGCAGAGCATAATGGCACCATCCACTCTTGGATCTCTTGGCAAAAAGTGCAAAGCAATGGACGACAGGCAGAGCCCAAGAAGGAGTTCTCCGTAGTGCTGGGCTTGTCCAAAGAGGCTGATCCGAAACACAGCCCGTGCAACCTGCAGAGTTTTGTTGACTGACCATGGCTATGGCGGCTATGGCGGCTATGGTTTGTAAATGTTGCTTTTTCAGGGCTATGTGGCTTCCAAGTGCAACCCGGAGGCTGGAGGGATGCTCACCCTCCAAGAAACTTAGACCTCCTCCCGCTGCGTATTTCACCCTGATAACCAAAAAGTCCAACACTCAGCCAATGAAGCTTGGTTTTGCCTTTTTGAGACCAGTTCCAGGTGCCTTCAAAATCCTTCTGGAGGTAACTAGATCTCGACTACGTACGTTTCTCTTGTAATCTTCCGTGCTATGGATTTATCTGAAGATAGGGTACCCCAAAATCCTCCGAAATTCCATGGTTTATCATCAGTTTCCCAACAAATGGCGATATTATGGGCCCCATTGACACATCGCTGAGTCTCCAGGTTCCAGAGCTGCCCAGGCTGTTGGATCGCCTTAACGAGGTGCGGAAGTTTTCTGGGGCTTCCCATAAAAATCCCATGGTTTATACGTAGGTTTTTCAATGTTTATCATCACATTCCCATGAAATATATTGAAATATCATGAAATGGCAATTTGGGGGCAATAATTATTTTCAGACAGACCCAGATGTTAACTGCTTGGTGGTTGCAGCCTACATTTTTTGTATCCATAGGAATTTGACGATCCAAGGATAGCATATTGGATGGATTGAACGTGATTTTTCACCCACCAATCAATGAAGAAGCGGCTGAGGATTCCACGGCTACCGCTGTGCCACAGTATTTCCTGGCATGTTTCGAGAGATGATAGGCCTGATAGGCTTCCAGTCTCAGTCTCCACTCTTGGAGAACTTTGATGCGTTTTAGCCAGGTTCATTTGTGGTCTCCGCAGAGCTTTCTCAACCCAAGCCTGGAGCCTGGATCCCGAAGCAGAGTCAGTAGAGCATGATTTTGCCAATTTCGGGATCAATTCGCGGCAGAATCGGCCAAGTCCTCTTATGTGTGAGGCCTGATTTGCAACCGGCCATGACTTGCGAGTGAGGTCGCCCAAAGTTCAACAGAACTTCTGTGGTGTTTGGTTCTGCCGTGCCATTCATTTAGATTCACCTCCTTGATGATATTCCATGCCCATCCATGCCCAATCATATGTTATGTCCATTAGTAGATAATATCCCATCATATTCTGCTGACTTGACAGTTTTCATCTTGGCGCTAGGGCTCTGCAGAAGTCGCCTCCAGCGCAAGTGGAAAGGCGTCGCTCAGCGGCTCGTGATAGCCATTTGCGCCGACTCGATCAATGTTTGTTGTTTTTTGTGAATTCGAGGTATCACACATCGTGGCGTTTCGCACATCTGCATCAAAAATATGTCTGCAGTCAGGTTTGATAGCATACAGCAACTTGAGTTTTTGGCTCTTTGCAGGTGTGTAATTATTTGTAAGATATGCACAGAGGCTTCTTGTTGCATCAATTCGTTCAGTGAACCTACCTCTACCCAGTCCACAAAAAGGCCGCAGGGGTGTTGACTCTGCTCTTTGGGCATCTAAGGATCTGTCATCAGGGTGTTGAGTGTGAAGTATTTGGGTATGGTCAAAAGAATTAATTTCCCAAAATGGATGGCTTGATGGCTTGATACTGAAAATGACAAGCTTTTCGTTGGTCCAGTGTACACATTTTCGAGCCATTCCCAACCGACCAACTGTTTCAAATGTAGAAGCGATCACAAAGTGTATACTCAGCTTAAAAGAAAGGGATTTTGAGTTACTGCGTTTGTCTCTCAGGAAAGCACACACAAAATGTCCTGCTTAAAATACAGCGTGCATCTTTGATAGCTCAAGAGACCTCTTGGTTCGGTGCGTGATCATCGAATTCACGGCAGTGAAGGGCTTAAATTCCTTCTGGAAAAGGGACATGTGCTGAGAGGCAGCAGCAGTGAAGTTGCAACTTAATCTGAGACAAGCACCTATCGACATCCACAAAATGCATTACATAGATGTAGGCGCGCACTGGAACATGCACCTTTCGGGGGATCAAGATTAGCTTGCGCGCAGAAAAGTGAAAACACATTGTGAGATGAATATTTCCAAAAATGACGACTTGCTGTCCAAGAAGATCTTTTGTTTGCGTGACATTCAACCAATTCCCATCTACCTCACCTCAGGCTGACATTTAGGCACTTTACAACGTAGACTATTGGGTCATCTTTTGCTGACCGGGCCTGCGGTTCGCCGAATGGAAATCGAGGCACAGACTGATCGAAGATGAATCCATACATTTGAAAGCGGAGAATGTTTGCAGTGACAAACTTGTGACATTGATACATTCATGGCACTTGCCAAAGATACCGACGCGCTTGTATATTCCAATTTGCCAGGGACCCCGACAGGCTCCATACAATATCCGAATCGCTTTGGTGAGCACCAGACTTGTGAATAAGTTTGAATAATGCATAATAATGCATAATAATGCCTAGTTCCAGGATGTTACAGGGATATGTGTCAAATTGACTAAATCAAATTAGGATCAAAATCCACACCAACACACAAAGTAGATTTTCTCAAAGGAATAGGTTTGTCTAGCCAGAAATCCATTGGTCAATCATCAGTTTCCCTATTCAAACAGCCATTTTTGGTTCGCCATTTAGATCCATTTGGGGGTATACCCCATTTCCAGACCAACCCGAATCTATTTTTACCTCACTTGTTGGAAGAGGTCCTAAGATACCCATGCGGCCAGGAGGTGCATTTTGCTGGTTCCCCACTGGATCAGTACCTCCAGGCAGCATGTGAAGTTGAATGTCGAGACTCTACACGCATTATACCAATTTGTTCAATAAATATGTATACATGATATAGGACATCATACTGTCCTTACACCTAGTCTGTATATATATATATATGCATAATAATAATAATAAGAATAATAATAATATATATATATATGTATGTATGTGCATAGATTATACAGCTTGAATTCTGAATGAGTGTATGATTGTGACGGACGCTGGTTTTTCTCGACCTTCAGCTGGGCACCTGCAAAGGAAGTCGGATGTGATCTGCGATGTACCATCGAGGCGCCAAACCCTGTGGCTTCTTTTGAACAGCCTTGCTAAATAACCATGTGATATATTCCATGCCCTGTTTGATCTATGATGGGTTGGGTTGGATACTTTCTGCTGGTTAAAGTGGGATAGGAGGATAATTAGGGGAGAATATGGGATAGTCATGGGAGGGCAAATTTGGATATGAGAAAACCATCCCCCACGCAGCCCATGATGTCCGCAGCGTTATTTTGAGCTTTTCTTCTTCACCGCCCCTCCCTCCAGCTGCACCCAAAGATGCTTGGAAGGACTTGATTTACGGTTGGGGCGTGCCCAAGAATTGGGTCACCCTCAATTTTCGGTCATTAAATTTTGGGAAAATGATGATGAACCCGTGAATTTCAGGTACATACCATATTTCCAGACAAACCCAATTGACTGTAGGATCTGTAGGGTCCATAATCAAGGGAGGCTTTGCAATTCCTGAGACATTCAGTATAGGTGCAGGGTTTCCGCAGTGAGCTTGGTTAGCATATCATCATATCGCATCAGAGTAACAGGCTAGTGCGTTTACATTTCAAGGAGTCTGAGAGTTTGATCAAACATTGTTATCATTAAGTCATCATCGTTTCAATTTGTTATATTCAAATCTGGTTTCAATTATTATGACACATTGGTTAACATATTATATAGATGTGCTATATTAATCCATATAACACAATGTGTTTATAACTGGCGCATTTGGCAGTTTGGCACTGCGAGACCTGAATTTTTCTAACACCAAGGCACCATGGTGGCACGCTGGCAGTTCCTGACTCTGATCAGCCTGGCGGTGGCTTCCCCACCGCTCCTGGGCTTACGTTGGCTTAAAAAATGGATGTTTGGAAAAAATTGAGGAGATATGGGAAGTTCATGGAAGTTATAAAACTGGTTTCCCTTTCACAATACTGTGGTGCTCTATGCCAAGGAATCTTCGAGCCTCTCAAAATGCCACACAGGAGATGTGGACAGAGAACTCAACAGCTGGAAACGTGCCTTGGTGGAAATAATTGACAGCTCTTGGAAGTTTCTTCTCGGAATTGCAGTGGCAGTCACCTCATTTTGATATGTATTGGGCCACTGCTATGGCTTCAAGTATTCCTCCTGTACCTTGTGTGGGGGGGGCTTTAGCTTGTCTGCAGCTTTGTTGTGTACATGAAACCTACGAGCTTCAGAGAAAGAAGACTGTTGATGCGTGCTGCATTAATTTGCAAAGTTCCATATTAGTAGTGACTCAATTCAACTATTTTGAAAAATAAGAACAGCAGCTTTGCCTTTCCTCTTGAAGCGATGCCCTGCTGCCTGAGACATCCAGAATGTTGTGGGCTGCACCACCAAGCGTGAATGGCTACAGGCTGCGGGCCTGCTTTGAGGGGTTACTCCTTGAGAAACCATTCAGTGCAAGACCACTTTAACCGAAAAAAAACATGCGAAACTACCTTTGACTCTCGTGACTCTTGTTTTTACCATCTTTTACCACTCCCCTTGTCACGAATTTGAGCGTCTTGTCCAGCTTTGCTCACGTTTGCCGGGTGCATTGTTACTGCCACGAGGTTTATGTCAACAACAACACGCTACGGAACCAACCCCTTCACGGCTTGTGGATTGGATTCTTGGGCATTGGTCAAAGGCTGGGAAAAAATGGTAGAAGGGGGAAGCTAGGACAAGACAGGTTGTAGGTCAGGTGGGAGGCTGTTATGTTTTTGTTCAATCTTGTAATCTGAAATGTTTGACTGTTTCTTTTTGGTTATATTGCTATACCAGTAGTACCGCACAAGGCGGTGGCGGAAGTTTCAAAAATGGAAAACCTATAGGAGAGGTGAGTTGGTGTGGCGCAAAAGTGGCAGAGCGAACCCACTGATGGACCGAAAGGTGCTTGAAGTCTCCCACTCTTGCTCTCTCTTTCTCTGACTATCTACCCACCTACCTATCTATCTTCTATGTATCTATTTATCTATCGATCTATCTCTCTCTCTCTGTCTTTCATCTAATTACCTAATTACCTAATTACCTAATTACCTACCTACCTATCTATCTATCTATCTATCTATCTGTGGAGTGTAGTTGTAGTTGTAGTGTTGTGGAATGTAGTGTAGTGTAATGTAATGTAGTGTAGTGGAGTGTAGTGTAGTGCAATGTAGTGTAGTATAGTGTAGTGTAATTTAGTGTAGTGGAGTGTAGTTGTGTAGTTGTAGTTGTCTTTGTAGTGTAGTGGAGTGTAGTGTAGTGTAATGTAGTGAAGTGTAGGGGAAGGTAGCGTAGTGTAGTGTAGTGTAATGTAGTGTAGTGTAATGTAGTGTAGTGTAGTGGAGTGTGGTGGAGTGTAGTTGTAGTTGTATTTGTAGTGTAGTGGAGTGTAATGTAGTGAAGTGTAGTGGAAGGTAGTGTAGTGTAGTGTACTTTAGTGTAGTGGAGTGTAGTGGAGTGTAGTGTAGTGTAATGTAGTGAAGTATAGTGTAGTGTAATTTAGTGTAGTGGAGTGTAGTGGAGTGTAGTTGTGTAGTTGTAGTTGTAGTGTTGTGGAGTGTAGTGTAGTGTAATGTAGTGAAGTGTAGTGGAAGGTAGTGTAGTGTAGTGTAGCGTAATGTAGTTTAGTGTAGTGTAATGTAGTGTAGTATAGTGTAGTGTAATTTAGTGTAGTGGAGTGTAGTGGAGTGTAGTGGAGTGTAGTGGAGTGTAGTTGTGTAGTTGTAGTGTTAGTGTTGTGGAGTGTAGTGTAGTGTAATGTAGTGTAGTGTAGTGGAGTGTAGCGTAGTGTAGTGTAATGTAGTAGTGTAGTGAAGCGAAGCGAAGCCACATCTAAGCCTCCAAAAGTGGTCCGAACCCCTAGTGTTTTTAAATGTTTTTAACATGTTGACTTCAAAATGTGCTTCGCGCCACAACGGCGCACTTTTTCGAGATCTGAACTTCCAAAAGTGGTCCGAACCCCTAGTGCTTCTTTCTTCTAATCTTCCTCTTCTCTCTGCCTCTTCCCTGCTCTGCTTTTCATCTGTCCATATTGTCGGAAGTTTGACTTCTAAACTTCCTTCGATAATATATATATAAATGTTTTAGGTTGTTGTAATAATGATTGGTTTCAATGAGGGTAGGTTTTGTTGAGGGTGTTTTGCCTGTTATGTTTTTTTTTTTAATGTTCTTGTTCAATGTTTTTTCCTTCCCTTTGATGTTTTATGTGTTGTATGTTCTGTTTTTTTTTTTGTCGCTAACTTTTCTGGGGCTTTCTGTTTGAATGTGGTTAGGATTTGTTGAGGTTGTTGTGATTTAACCATCTGGATATGAGGGAAATGTTGCGTTAAGGTAGTCTATGATTTCTTGGTGTTTTATTCGTTTCATTTCTTCATCAGTTTTCTTTTGTTGTTCTATTTGTTTTGGGTTAGGTTTGTTCAAGTGTTTTTTATGTCGTTGGGTTCTTTCGTGTCTTAACATTTTGTTCTTGAAATCTCAATTTTACAAATGGGACATTCAACCTTTTCTTTCTGTTTCTCAAGTTTTTGTCGTTTGTATTGTTCATAGCGTTCCCGCTTTTTTTGTCTTAATTCTTCTCGGTGATTTTCTCTATAATGCTGTTTATACTCACAACATTTTTTACATAATGCCTTTCCATTAGCAAAGTTTTCTAGAGTTTGCGTCTTTTTACATTTTGAACATTTCCTACCTTTATGTTCATTCATTAAAGTGTTCTGGGACTATATCTTCAAATGGGTTTCTGGGTCTCAAAGTTTACTTCATAATATGTTTAATCGGAAGTTCCACTGTTTCATGACTTTGGCAGAGACTCAATGTCCTTCAAACTCTTCTTGCACATCATCACAGCCTTTGAGTTCGTGAGCAACATCCTCATTGCACCTCGTCAGCACAGGTGTTCTTGCAGTCCCAGACTTCTGCTGTCTTGTGTTGCATTGCATCACATTGCATGACATGACCTGTTGCTCATTGCATTTCGCAGCACTGGCTGTTGCTCAACATGTGCAGACAAAAACGCTAAACTCCTCATGGCTTCGAGAGCTTGGGCGTGGCTTCGCGCTAATGCAGCACCGCTGGGCGTTGGGACGCCCGTTGTCGGCGTCTTAGCCTCCTATGCGTGGATCCACGCAACTGAGACCCACCGGATGGCGCGCAAAATCCGCAGAGGATACTTCCAACCAGAGGCTCCTGCGGACTACGACCACCGGTTTTGCCTGTTTGACAGGTACATGATGGAGAAAGCTTCAATGGTCGGCCTCGTTGGGTTAAAATCCACAGGGAAGTCCAGCACTTTGTCGCACTTCCTGAGAGAGAAGCCGAACCCCTTCTACCTGTCGCTCACGGATGGCAACGTCTACGACGCAATGTATGACCAGATGAAAGATTCAGTCCTTTGTCTCCCCTTCTTCGCAGACTATCTTCGGTGGGATGCTAGGAAAAACAGCAAGAAGATCGTCATCGAAGTCTTCAAGTTGGTGCGGGAGCAGACAGGCTCGCCGGTGCAGGTGGGGGTGGATGTGGTGTTGAACCCCACGACATTGCCTGTAGAGGGGGCAGACAAAACAGTGAAGACTGTGCAGAATTTGTTTTTGCCAACGCCGAGCTCAGTTCCGATTTTCAGCTCAATCAACATCATCAAGCTCGTCAAGGATGTGAAGTGGCTTTGTGCCGACGCGAGGGTGGCTTCGGCAGTCATAGCATCCAGCGAGGGCTTGGAGCTTCTGAGTGTGAATGAGCCAAGGCTTGCGAAGCTGATGGCAGAGGAAATGCCACTCGAGAAAGCCAAGGAGTACCTCCAGCACATCCACGCCAAGGGCTACACGGAAGAGATGCTCAAGAACATCCCGCGAACCTTCGAGAGCCTTCACAGTTCAAGAGAGCGGAGGACAAAGATGCATTTTGCAAGAAGGAGATGAAGGAGTGGATGAAGAAAGTGAAGGAATCTCGAGCGCACTGCTCCCACGACGGCAAGGATGGAGGTCTCAGGGCTGCGAAGGTTCTCTACAGCAAAGCGTTTGGTGGAGCGGTCGACTATGACGACATTCGCCAGCACTGCAAAGATGAGCAGAACTTCATGGCGAATTTCGTGAGACCCAACCTCTTCACCCCCATACCAGGTGCGGAGTACAAGTTCCAATTCGATTGTGTAGCCGAGGCAGCGAAGACTGTGTTCGGCCTGTAGCCACTGTAAGTTTGAACAGGTACAGGGTGTAGAGTGAACAGCAGAGAGATGCAAAAGTGTGAGCATCAGCATCAGAGCACGCGATGATTTTGCCAAAAAAAGCAAAATGAACAAAGCTGTAGCACAGAAGTTGCAATCTTCGCGCATTGTTTGTTTCTGCGTTCCCTCATGCCACCCACCAGTTGAAGCGCTTGCGCTGAGGTATTGACATGATGGAGGAGAAGGCGGCGGACCACTCTCCCCTGCACACACATCCCACACATATAATATAGTATATCCCCCCTACCCCACTCATTCACCCCCCTGTTTGTCAGAAGGGACAGCGTCGCAACGGTCTCACCAAAATATGGGAACGGGAAAGGGTTTCAAACATATATATATATATATATTTAAATTTGTTGTTTCATTTTTAAAAATCCATCAACTGGGAGGGAGCGACACGCTCTGGGGTGTGGAAGTTGCCAAAAAACATATCTCCCAGTTGATGGTGGCGGATTGTTATATTTTGTATAGATTTATCCATATGTTTTACAGCTTCGCTTCAATCCTGACCTCGACCATCAACGACGTGGTTGGCACACAACTGACATAAAATGCTATGAGACTTTCCGCGCAATCTGGCATAGAATTTATGAGACATTCACGACATGAAATCTTTGAGACACCTGTAGGAACAGTATTTCAACAAGTGTCCTGAACTGCTCTTTTTTGACCCCTTTTGACACCATTTGAGGACACTTGTTAGGACACCCCATTATTCAACATAAAACCCAAAAATACTTAAAAACATACCGCCTTATATAATTAAGAATTGAATATGCCCTGCTATATGTATATTAACGGTATGAAGCAAGAAATGGACGAAGACCTTTTCGACCAAATGGCGGCAGCACTACACCAATCCAGCAACCCCCACAATCCACCAACAGCAACATCCACAAGATGGAAACAGCCAGAGGCTATTTTAACGGCTTCAAGAAGTCGTTATAAACCCGACGGAACTTACGACAAGAAACCGTTAGACCCCAATTATTTTTCAAAGTATTATCAAAAGAGATTATCAACTCCTTTCACCTGCCCTGACTGCGGACGCACAATAACAAGCAAATCAAATCTATCAAAACACCGTCAAACCAACGTTTATATGAGCAACAGACGCCATTGATGAAACGTTGAACTCAAACCTCAATCCCAGAAATTCCAACAGGAGACCAAAATCCAAAACTACTTAAAGAAATATTACCTTATATAGAATAGAGAATATGGGAGAGGGTGTAAGGTTGAAAAATCAGACTAATATTGAAAACCAACACAACCAACAATCCAATCAATCTCAACAACCTCAACAGATAAATTCAACTGAAAAACTACTTAAAGAAACATACACTAATAATAATATAGAACATAATATAATGAACACTTCAGACCAGATTGTTTTGGGTTACATTTTATCAAGTGAAACAGGCGAGATGTTGAAACGGAAT